GGCGACGGGCGAGAAGGGATGAAACCAATAAACGTGAGATTGTATATGTCGCGGTAATTGGCGACACCGAAGCCAATGTTCAAGCTCGAGAGGCTCGGCCTGACGTCCGGTGGGTACGCGAGAGTGGCTACTGCATTCGATTCACAGAGGTGAACAAGACAACGATAGATGTAACATACGATCGGTCGTCGCAATGTGAGAGTGAGAAACACGCGCAGGAGCTCTTCGTCGACTGGGCTGAAGTGGCATGTCGTTGGTTGCAGCGAATAACTTCGTCCAAATTAGTCCAGTCTGGGTAGCGTGCGGTGTAATTCAACTACAAAATGCATGTTTCCTTTTTGTTTTGGTTTTCCTTTCAACAGCTGATTCGTGGATTCGTCCCGACGTGGTCATTGTTGTAATATGAAGGTCTGTTTGGTTCAAAATGTGTTGGCATATAAACTTTACACCTAAGATGGATACTGGAGTCTGGACTGGCAATTTCATGCAGTTCGAGTCACATGAGGTTATTTTCTTCTAACTCCATCCAAATTTACGTATTGCGTTCATCAGGTAGTTCATCTGCGATATCCAACTTGTTACGGAAAAGAATGTTTAAACCAAACGCACAAAAATGCAAAAATGTATTTTGTGCACTCAGACATGCTTGAAGCTCAATTTTTTTAGACTACAAGTTTCAGACAAGTGTACTACGAGATAGTGTTTGAGATTGGCCGATACACGCAACACACTTAGATTCGAAATCAGAGTTCTCTGAGAGAACTTCTTCGTTTTCAAGACTATGTTTTACTCAGAAATCGATTGTCAGGTGTGTTTTATATATCAACAAACTTCAAAGAAAAGCGTTAGATCTCTGAATTTGCTAACCTTGTCTAAGGTCCTCAATAAAGAGTGACCGCTTCACCACTTTAGCTGATCATTTTTTTTAAACAAAAACAGTCCTTTGGAAGACTAAAGTTGCGTGCTTCCGATGGTGTGTCAAGTGCAATATCACTTATATCGGTGATCTCATTTCAATTCATAACTTTACGGTGGTCACATTATTTGCTTACCCCCTTGTCAAGTTCTTCTATGTATACGGGCCGTACAAGTAAAACCCTGCATAAGAGTAATAAAAACTACAATGGAAGTGATGAGACTCCATTACCATTAGCTACTATTATTCTGTGCGTTCTGCTTTTACTCATTTTGAGGATAGCGCTATACTAGATGATGCAACATCAAATGTTGAGGTCATTATAATCGACCGTACACGATATCATAGCTGCGATTAGAGCGGCCACGCCTTGTCGAGGTGGTCTTCGTAGTGATCATCACTAATCGGGACCTCCGCATTTTCAAAGTTAGTGCTGTCGTTCAAAGCCATACGAGCTATGTCTGTTAGTTGTTCCCACATGATCAAGTCCTGGAACTCGCCGCCTACACCAGATAAACTCATATACGGCGTGCCCAAAGTAATATGGTAGTGAAAGCTGAAGGACTCGTTTGCCTCAGGAAATTGGGTAGCCGTGTAATAGTTTCCTTGTGATACTTCGTGTCGGACTTGGACGTGGAGACTCCTATAATCTTAGGTGTCTCCAAGTCGGGATTGTCAATCCACAAAATAACGTTCTTCCAGTCGTGGCGTCTTTTGGGGCAAGTTGCCCAAAAGACTTTTGGAAAGTACCAAGTGTGATGGCCCACAGGTCCTTGTACCATCCAGATCGTTCGTAGACTTGTGAGCCCTTAAGAGCATATTTGCACGCGCTGTTATCATTCGTCGCCTTGAGCCCACCTGTAACCTCACCGGCAGCATTTACGGCAGGAAACGACACGCAGACAATTTCTGAAGTCGATAGATTCGGCTTGAACTTGATGGCAGCCTTTTCGGACATAGGCTCGGGTTGAAGAAAAGGTTCGATTTTGTCATGATCGACGTTTGCAGTTGCACAAACAACCAATGCTGAAAAAACTGCCGCAGCAATAGCTCGAATATTCATCTCGACTTGGCGAATCAGAGAATGAACTATAGCGAGTGGGCTGTCTTAATAACTGTCCACACGGAGAACCGCGTGTACATTGATTAACTTGGAGTTTCAACGTGTTGTGATACTAGGCTACCAACAATCAAAGGAAAATGAAAATAATCCAGTCCGATGGCCATATGAGCAATCACATTGTATGTGATTTCCCGCAATGTTCCATTTGACTAATGCCGTGAATTGCCGAGGAAGCTTTGGATACTGCCGACAGGATGCGCTTTTCATAGTAACACCGTTCTCTCTCTCTCTCTCTCTCTCTCTCTCTCTCTCTCTCTCTCTCTCTCTC